GGCGATGAGGATTGGCAACGTGGCCGTGTAGGGCGGTCGATCCTCCAACTATAGTCACTTCAACTTGTGCCAACTTGCTGCGGTTGTGGTATGTGCAGTGGTTATAACGTAATAACGATAATCGCATCAATGCCTTCTCCCTCATCTCGTCCGGGCGAGAGTGTTTTTAGTCAGGGTGAGTAAATAGCGAACTGGGCCTATGTGTTGATGCAAATCACATACAATAAACCGGAGAGCCTCGGGCGAGGGTGAACTCAAGGGTTCAGTGCTGATGTTGATGGAAAGTAATCTACGCTTTTGGGTGTATGTTTTGGAATGCTTTTCTCATCACACCTTCGCTGGCGGTGGTGCGGCTACCCTACCCTTTATGCACGGCTGATATTCGCTGCACTGTGGGTGTTGAGATGGTCAAAATCTGTTGTACCTCTCGGTGTAGATCACGCTCACGGATCATACAGGTCTGTATGTTCGATAGCAGCTATTGTTTCGGTACACTTTGTGCATTGTCCGCGCTGCCCATGAACGCATAAGCAAAAACCTGAAATAATCCACCTATGGCGAGATCTGACCCATCTTACGTGAACATGCCCAAAAAACAATTTGAGTTGATTAAAAGCTGAATAAGCCATTTTTTAGATAAGAAGGTTCGGGATTTTCCAAGAAGTCCAGAGAAATTAAGTTTTAAAATTAAATTAAATTAAAGGTAGCTTCCGAGTATTTCGAGTAGCTCCGTTAATTTTTTGCAGGAACTTTCAATACATTCCGAGGAATTATAGAATATTCTGAAAAATTCAGAATTGTTCCAAAAAATCTGGAAATCAGTGGTTTCTTCAGAGAAGTTCCATTTTCCATAAACAAAAAATTGGAACGCAAGAGAAGATTCGAGAATTTCTTGAAAATTTAGGGAATTTCATGAAGGAACACAAACTCCAGGCATGTCCTGAGATCTTCGTCAGGGCTAGTTTTAGATTAGGATCGTAAAACATTTTGCAACTTTATATACTCTGAAAAAGGCCAACGACCGCAAATTCTGTCATAAATCATCGTACCGTTTAGATTAGTATTTTTAAGCGAGCTAATTGCCGACAAGTTTTACCCGTACCTTAGTTTGAGTCAATGGAAACTAAATTGTGTGTAAATTCCCAAATTACAATTATAGTCGCTTAAGGATTGGAGATGGTCGGGCGCACATATGAAAAATCAGCTCTTAATTTACCATGACAGCACTATTATTACAGTGTGCTATTCATTGCCCAATTTTAGAGCCACGGTTGTAAAAATGTAACTTGGTGTCGGTCAGAAATTACTCGGAAAGTAGGGTTAATCGATAAGTGTCCACCTGTTACTTTTAACTAATATTTTAATTTAATCCGGCAATTCGGACACAGCCTAAGTTTTGTAAAACAGAAGCAATTTTTCTACCCGTCTTTTTTTTTTTGGTGGCACCTGCTGAGCACGGTGCTAGAAAGTGATAGACTTCATATCTTGATTACGTTGTTATCATAAATTGAATCGTGTTTGGCCAAAATTTGGAAGCTTTTCCAGGTAACCAAGAAGTATTAAAAGCAGCACGTTATCAGCAGCAAATGCTACTTAAAACCAACTTTTGGCAAATATGCGGCTGTTTTTTTTGCTCCATAAGCTAACGGTACTACTGTCCGACTGTTAACAACCGTTGGTAGCACACCATTTTTTTTTAATAATAATTAAAAGAGCATCTTGAGTTTATTTTATTTTCTCGTTTGGCGAAAATTGGCTTGCGACTATTGTGAATTTAATTACAGATTTACAACAGTTATGCATTTAAAATGCTCACGTCACGTCCCAAGCAGTTTTGAAAGTTTGTCAACGAACAACGTCATGAAGCTGGTCTGCCGTCGTCTATGATACATATTGGTATCGTGGCCTCATCTACGCCAGATATCTGTCAGCTGTTCTCTGACAAATTTGCTAGTGTCTTCACGGACGAGAGACTGAGTGACGACTATGCCCGACTGGCTGCCAGTTACGTACCACTCTCTGGTCAAACCATGAGCAGAATTGAAATCAATCCCGAGATATTTTCCAGGACTTCCTCGAAACTGAAGTCGTTGTACCATCCGGGTCCTGACGGAATTCCATCGGCATTCCTTAAACCGCACTTGGACAGATTGTTATCTCCACTGCTGCACGTTTTTCAACGGTCCGTGGACGTCGGCGTTTTCCCATCCTGTTGGATGCTAGCGCACATGTTTCCAGTACACAAGAAAGGCACCAAACAGGACGTTGTCAACTACCGTGGCATCATTTTGCTTAGCGCTGTTGCTAAATTGTTCGAAATCGTTGTTATGGAACCGTTTCTCGTTCACTGTAAGCCGTATATTAGTATCGACCAGCATGGTTTCATGGCTGGTCGCTCCACTGCCACTAACTTGTTGTGCCTTACTTCCTACATCTCTAACAGTATGTCGGATCGCGCTCAGACGGATGTCATTTATACTAACTCAAGACCAACAATTGAAATGGCCTTAACTCTATTTTGTAAACAAACCTTGTAAGGCCATTTTCTCGCGAACCGAAGTCGGCAAAGGCAAACCAACATAATGAACAGGTAGGGAAAATTCTCCTCTACCGATTGTGGTTAAGGTTTGCGAATTAAGGTTTCGGTTCGCGAGAAAATGGCCTTACAAGGTTTGTTTACAAAATGGAGTTAAGGCCATTTCAATTGTTGGTCTTGAACTTATCTGCAGCCTTCGGTAAATTGAACAGGCTAAAATTTGGACAGGCTTGGTATCCACGGCTGCCTTTTGCTATAGTTTCAGTCGTACCTCACCGATCACTATCTTACTGTTGTCATTGGTGATCCCCAGTCCCGTATGTTCACTGCCACGTCCGGCATACCCCAGGGTAGTCACCTAGGACCGCTGATTTTCCTGATTTACTTCAACGACGTGAATCTAGTAATTGAGGGACTACGATTAACTTACGCAGATGACCTCAAACTCTTCCTTCGAATTCACTCAATTGAAGACTGTTGCTTCCTTCAACTTCAATTGAATGCTTTTGGTGATTGGTGTATTCTGAATCATATGGAGATTAACCCGTCCAAATGCTCGGTTATCTCTTTTCCGCGCAAGAAAGAGACTATTATGCTCAAGTATGTTTTCTTAGGCACTGAAATTGAGCGCGTCAACCAAATTAAGGACCTAGGTGTGATTCTGGATGCACAACTCTCTTTCAAGCAGCACATCTCGTATGCCGTCGACAAAGCTTCCAAAATTCTAGGGTTTATCTTCAGGATTTCCAAAGACTTCACGGATATTTACTGCCTTAAATCGTTGTACTGCTCCTTGTCTCGCTTCATACCAGAATATTGCTCGGTTGTCTGGACTCCTCACTACAACAACGGTGGCGAAAAAGTTGAGTCTGTTCAGCGACGGTTTCTGAGATATGCGCTACGTAAACTACCGTGGACGGATCCCGTGGATAATTCAATGCTGCGCCTGCCCATACAGCGAACTAATTATAGCATGTTCAGCGCAATCGGTGGTTTACAGAGACTCTTCAATAGGGTCTCCGCACTATTTGACTTTGACCTGACTCGCCAGCTGTTTCGCCGGAGGTTTAGTTCGTGTTTTATATCAGTTTAGTTTGTCTAGCAATGTTCCTTTTTTACGAGATGACTATTGACTTATCAATGTTTAGTTTTAGTACTTTTCATGTTTAGTTTCAGGCATCATTGAGGCCTGATATTCCAGTCCTACTTCAAATAAAAAATAAATCCTGGTGTGGAAAACTATCCATATTTTTCCAAAATTCACAAGTTTTGAACGAGACAAGCGCCAGCCAAGCAAGTTCAAGCAGTGACCATTAACCAGTGTTACTATAATTCATAGTGATATGTGAAAAATAACTGTAACCATAACCATCTGGATATCAATCAGCTAAAACGACTTGCTTAATCACCGTAATGTTTTCATCAAGTTCACGATCCGTTTCTTACCTCGATATACTCCATGTTACGAGGAGAGGGCCTTGACGATTCCTCTCCCCCTTAAAAGTTAATGTTTTGACTGTTGACTTTATGCTACAGGCAGAAATTCATCTGGTTCCTACCCCATTTTATTTTTGAAACAGTTGTCTTTAATCCCGTTATAAAATATATTTCTTGAACACATGTCGAGACCCTGCTCCACAAGAAAATTCTTCGGGACAATGCACTTAACCAAACGCTAGTTTGCGACCGAGATGGAAATCGTACACACTAGGGTAAGCTAAATTTGCCGGAGAACTTGGCAATCCTAAAGTACACAGTTGTCAATTTTTGACGAAAAATAATGTACTGATCACTAGTAAATATCACTACTAGTAAATTTGCATTTTTTTAGTTTCGATAACAAAAGCGATTCAAATATTTAAACATCTTGTAAGCACAATATCATTTATTGATTTGCTTCTCTTGAAAGACATACGTTCCGTTTGATGAAGCACCAACGTTGGACTCCGTCCCCCTTGTGAAATGACCTTTGAAAATGACTAACAAATAAAAGGAAGCGCGGAAGATCGAGAAATAGGTAGCATCGGATTATCGAGAGTTGGATGAAAAATATGCTGACTGAAAGAATTTCAGATTATCGAGAGGATTCTGTACAACGGCAACTTCTCCAAATATCGACTATAGATGCAAAAAAAAAACAATTCAAAGAGCTTTGATTCAATATGTTGTCCAAAATTTGTTAGGAACAATCCACTGTGCGTTCAGTGTGCCGCGCGATAGGGCGTTGCTGTAGTCCAATCATTTGTGGTTGTGAGCTTCTTGAGGCATAACTCCCAACCACTTAGATAATTACTCCATGAAAACGAAACCCCCAGTACACACCTCCGTGAACTTGACTTTCACATAAATTCGCGGCGGCAACAGTATCAAATGACTCGCTCCTTTATCAATTGATCCCCTTGTTGTCAACTGATAGCTCTGAGACCACTTTCAGTCGACAGCAAAATTATGTAGGACTACTTACTGTGTCATGTTCGGATTGATGTAGACAACCTGCGGGGTTAGCGCGGAGATAATGAACCCGATCGGGATGGCCGCCGTCAGTACGTGGATAATCTTTTTCCACGGAGAAACACTGTACTCGAAGAAACAGACAGATAAATAGATAAAATGCTCATTAAGTTTAATAAACGACTGACCAGTGCGTGTAATTAATGCCAATTACTTACTCTTTGCCTGTGGTTTTCAACTTGGAGGGCGAACCAGCATCGACTGCCGCCGTCGAGGGCCCGAAGAAGTACTCTAGCGGATCGATCTTAGTACCATCGTTGCTGCTGGTGGTGCTGCTGCCGCCACTACTTCCTGTCTCGTCGCTGCTAAACGGCGTTTGACCAGCCTCGAAAGAGTACGGATGGTCACGCGGTGGGAACTTGAAATAATGGTGACCACTGATGATCTTACTCTCAAGGTCAGGGTTTTTGTTGTTTTCAGTGGGTTTTTCACCCTGCTGATGATCGCTGTCTTCCTCTTCGGGAACCCATTTCCATTTACCCTTTGGAGGAGTCAAGCGTGGTTTCGTCCTACTGAAGGGACTATCGGAGCCTTCGCCGCCGTGACTGGACTGTCCATTCGGTAACCAGAGAAATTTACCACTCTTGTGATGATCGAATTTTGGCGGCCAATTGGACTTGATCTCGTCGCCATGGACCGATTCCGGAAAATGGATGTGGTTTGCACCGAACCATTTGGAATCGTTGTCAACTACGGTGGAAGGGTAGGTTGCATCCACTGGAGAGCTTTGACGGAAGGGACGATGGACTGCGGTACTGTACATGTGAGTTACCTCTGGTGATGGGATGAATTCTTTGGGCGCTGGTGCCTGCCGGTTCGGATGCCTGTCGTAGCTGGAACGGTTAAGACATTTTGATGAATTTTGCATTGATGACAAAGCAAGCGGTGCCATTTAATTTGAAATTCGCTCCACACTGTGGAAAGAGATCGAAGTGTGCTTTGGTCGGATTTGACGTAGGGTGTCGAATGGCTTTAGCCCCCCGGAAACCCTATTACAAGCAACTTGCAACGCTCATTCTCTGCAGCATGATAAATTACATAAGGTCTGTTTCCATACTTGCTTTTCTGTAAGATTATGTACAGCAAAAAGCAAATAATATTCCCGTACTTTCTGCAGCATATGTTTTCTTACAGCAACTTACAGAAAGTTGCAGCTACTTACAGCAAAAGCGAAAAAGGAACGGGATCAGACCTTTAGGTATTTTGTGAAGAAAAATAATCGAAAATCTGCTCAAAATTTGCTTTAAATAGATACAGTAAAGCAACTTTTGAATAGATTTTCGATTAATTTTCTTGAAAAAAATCCTTGTCTCAAGGAGGAGGACAAGCATCTCGTAACCCTATTTGTATTTATATTTTTCCCACGGATAGATTTCCCACTCAATTTAATAAAATTTGCGGTTTATTTTAAGATAACATGCTTAAATGACGTAGCATTTGAGATGGGAAGAGAGGCAGTTGGAGTCCAGAAAATTGTCTCCTATGCACAAATCACATAAATATTGCTTGAAAAAATAGTTCATTAATTTGAATGAAAGTTGAAAATCGTATTTGATCAATTTTGAAGGGTACGTTGTGCAGGGTGGCCATTAGACTGATGCAAAATTTTAAATGTTCGCTCCACAGTGCTTAAAAGGTACCAAATTAGGTCCTGCTTAGCCTCCCAAAATTTAAACTACTTTAGTAAGAAACTGACTTGGCACAAACTGTTTAAAGTTTATATGGGAATTACTATGGGAAAACTTATGTTTTTGTTCATATCTATCTTACAATTTATCACATCACTATGCTTTTAAAATGATAGCAGTGATTGTAGCAAATTTTCTCAACTACAACTTTGTTGAAAACTACTTTGCAATCAACTGTTCAGCAGGTAACATTGGTGTTTCTGGTGCGAAGAATAGAGCACAAATATCATGGCTACTATGTCACACTGCGGAATACAGTGTTGCCTACAAAACAGCTTCTTGATCATGTGATAAGATTATCAATCTCTTAAACAATTAATAACAATTTAATTTGACATTTGGTTGAAAAACGCTGTTGGGCAAAGTTGTATGGAAAATGAGCAGAAGACAATGAACAAAAAGTCATAGTAATTTCCATATAAACTTCGAATAGTTTGTGCCAAGTCAGTGTCTTACCCAATAAGTTTAAATTTTGGGAGGCTAATCAGGACCTGATTTGAAACTGTTTGAGCACTGTGGAGCGAAAATTTCAAATTTTGCATCAGTCTAGTGGCCATTGAACTGAGAAAAGCGGAAGAACCAAGAACTAGCCGGGCATCTAAAACAACCGAGAAGCAACCGGGAATTTGATTAGAACATGAAAATATGCTTTACTTTAGAATTCCCTGGACTTCTAATTATCATCCTTATAGAAAACTACTTTGAGTTAATTTTTAGCTCTCCTTACAATTTGTTTGAAATACTTCGCATAAAAACCGGGAATTTATATATTTTAGTAAAATTTCTTTGGAATTTCAAACTCATTTTCTAAATAATTCTTCACAGTGTCAGAGTTCTCAAATTTAGTCCAAGTCCAAGAGTCATGATTATTTTTTATTCTGAGATGTTGAAAATAACGCCATGTTTGAAATTTTTGTAAGTTCAAGAAATTGAACAATTGGTTCTTGAAAACATCAAATAATTTCTTAGTCCGAAATCTCAAATGTTAATCCTCATTATTTTATATAACAATTTCTATGTTCAATCTATCAGCAATGTTCGGCCTAGTGCTCTTCGAAACATTTACAAGAAACTTAGAAAAATGTCATAATCAGGGCTCTACATTTTCGAAGCTCTAAAATGAACTCGAGTTTTGTTTCTCTCATACAAACGTGTTCAACGCTTCATTTCTATAACACCTAACTAGACTATCAGCAAGAAATGATAATGAAAAAGAAGCTCGCTTAGAAGGAAACGCTGGCTGTGGATCTTCTCGTCGTTGCTTTGCTCATCGCTTGCAATGTAAGTAACGTCGATTTTCTAGTTAAACGAAACCTCATTATGGCTTTCAATCCCCTTTCACGAACACTCTATCACCGCTCTTTCAATTTGTTTAAAATGCGTTATGTCCCGTTTTCGTTAATTTTTTTTAGATAAATATGTGGATGGAAGATAAATTAAACATATTACGTGTAATCTTCAAGTGTTTTCACGTGAGAAATGCTTTAAATACGTAATTTCATTTTCCGTCATATACGTCATGAAACCTCTGTTGATGTGTTTCATGAAAGAGAAAACGAGTCGAGCGCTCTTTCGCTCATCCGTTTCACCGAAGCTTGAAAGGAAGACCAATGGAACGACGGAAGGAAGAGAGACAAGCGATTGAACATTTGTTTGTGCACGCCGACTGAGGTTCTAGAATGCTGCGAAGCTGTTCTACCTTAACAGAAAAAGAAAGCCAGCAGTCTCTTCGTCGCATCGATTTGGTCGATTGAAGCTGATATTGTGACGCCCTGGTCATAATTATGTGATTTTAAAATTTCGAACTGCACAAAATTATCTAAAATTAAAATTTGGCAATTAGTTGCGATCTTTAAGCTTTAAGAATTTTACATTTAATGAAAACTCATAGTGTTGCTCAATTGCTGAAATCAACCATAACGGCAAGGGCTTAATCATATTTAGCTATTTATATTAAACCGAGAAAATACGTTGGGAACAGACCGGAAATTGAATTTTTTTATTTGTCATTTTCAGAAAAGCAAGCATTTTTGATTAGCTTTCAAATAAACATAAGCTTATAAATCTTAAAATTGCACTTTAATGTTTTTGAAGTTTTAACAGTATTTTTTATAAATTTTCATAAAAAATTCGTGATATTTTTTTTTATATAAAAGCAATCTAGTTTTCTACAACTTTGTCTCAGGCGTCATTTCGATTATATGAGCCGTTTTTGGGCTATGATAGATTTAAAAAATATCGAGTACGCCATTTTGAAAAATTAGTCATGAGTCAAAATGGCCGAATTCCAATACAAACATAGTTTATTGCCATTAACGAACAATTGTGCGAAGTTTCATGGAATTGTGAGAGGTAAAATCTAAAATGTGTTTATTTTTGTCGTTATTTGGTTTGGACTGCGCTGAAATCTCCTAACGAATTTTGAGGTGAAAATTCCAGGGGTATTTCGAAATGAATTCTAAGGGTAAATCTAAAAGAGTTCTAATTAGAATTCTTTTTTAGTTTTAAAGAGAATCTTCAGAGAAGTTTGTAAGACTTCAGAAAATCTTCAGGAATTTCATAAAAGTTCAAATCCGCAAGTTCAAATCAGATCTATAAGAAAGTACAGTAACAACATCATCAGGAGAATCGCAAGAACTACAGAGAAAATCCCGATGTTCGCGATCAAAGAAGATCAAAGAATCTCTGAGCAATGCTATTGACTAAAGTGACATTGCAGATATTTTACATAAGAGCAGATCCACGGCAAATGAGGAATCGGAAAAACTCGACCTACTCCGATTTGTGAATCAATGACATTGTTTAAAAAAAATCGGTCAAATTCGTCTTTGTAATTTTTCAATAAATTGTAGTACAAAGAAGTCAATTCTTATCGAAATGGCGTCTGAGACAAAGATGTAGAGAAACGTAAAGTCGTTCTGAGAAAAATAAACGTGTTATTTTTTATTTAATAATTTTGAGTAAATTTTTTTTAAAAGTTATAAATTCAAATATCTTAAAAAGTATATTTTCAATTTTGATTTATTTTTTAAATCTCATAAAAAAAAACAAATTTTTGGAACATTTAAAACCATGGTCACTTGAAAATTCACAAAAATCGTTGAACAAGAACGTTTTGAACAAATTCTGCACAAGAAACAATACTTGACAAATTCTCAATTGTTATCTGTGCAAAAATTACATAAAAGAGCTTGTTAACAAGAAGTTTAAAGATATGACTAAAAGTGGATTCAAAGTGTTTTTTATGTTACTTCATACGCGAAGTTAACGATTTTCAGAGTTGGTTGGAAATGCTAACATGAAGCTTTAGTGTGATGATTTATTAGCTAGAGAATGATCTTTAGAAGAGGGTAGGTGGATAGTTCCGTTAGAGTACGGCAGTATGAAAATTGAATAGAAGTTGAAAATGAGCGAAGGGCCATTAAAGCGACAGTTTACAAGATAGACGCACATTTTTGCCTAGCCCGTACGATGTACGCGGGGACTTGAAGTATGTCTCCAAGTCCACAGGCAAAAATGTGGGGCTTTAGGTAGTGATGAAAACGTCGCTAGAACTATTCCACAGCCGCAGTCAGTTTATGAGCAACAAGAGGGACGCACATTTTTGCCTGTGGACTTGGAGACATACTTCAAGTCCCCGCGTACATCGTACGGGCTAGGCAAAAATGTGCGTCTATCTTGTAAACTGTCGCTTTAATGGCCCTTCGCTCATTTTCAACTTCTATTCAATTTTCATACTGCCGTACTCTAACGGAACTATCCACCTACCCTCTTCTAAAGATCATTCTCTAGATAATAAATCATCACACTAAAGCTTCATGTTAGCATTTCCAACCAACTCTAAAAGTGGATGTTTTACGATTTTTATCAATTTTTAAGTGTCCATAGTTTAAAATACTCCAAAAGTTTTAAATTGTTATGAGCAGTATTTTATAAATAAATTATAAAAATTGAAGATATACGTAATGAGATTTTTCCTTTTTAGCACTTTTTGGAAATTACTATAAAGTGTATATTTTTCCCAGAAAGACTTTACTTTTCTAAACAACTTTGTCCTAGACGTCATTTCGATCAGAAGTGACGTTTTGTGGTACAATATTTTGAAAAATTTCAAAGATGCTGTTTTGAAAAACATTACTTGATCCAAAATGGCCAAGTCAGAGAGCTTCAGGAATGGACAATTTGGAAAATTTAAGAGTCTTCACGGAGGTTCAGAGATGTTTCGGCAAGTTTAAATATTCTTTTTCTTTTCGGATCTGAAGACTTCAGGGAAGTCTAGATGATTTCACAAAAGTCCAACAAAATTCAAAAACTTGCAAAGTTTAAACAATTTTAAGAAAGTGTAGAGATTTTTCTATCGTTAAGTGAACTTCAGGAAAATTAAAGGATCTTAAGGGCTGCCTTATGAACATTTGGATACTTGCGGAAACTGTAGATTAGTTCTGATAGCTTTAGGAATCCATCTTAATATTTTCCAGAATCTCTCTTAAGCCCTTTGTACTCGCCCGCCAATTGTCTTATTTTTGAATTCTCGTGTGATTTCCCCAGGATCCCCCTTCCGTTGCCATTTGTTAGTTATGTACTAGGACGATGAAACGAGCATGACATGATTAGTATTTTTTATTTTTATGGCGAGCTTATTGCAGATAAGTTTTACCCATCCCCAGTGTCAATAAGTGTGATCTAAATTATGTGTACATGCAATTATACATTATTTTACTGAAAATTATGGGTTCTCTTCATAGGAATTTGAGGTAAACGGGGGGCGCACTTAATAAAAAATAGTAAGTAACCAGCTTTAAATTTACCATGACAGCACTAATTGCATTATTTTATCGTTGTGGACTAAAAATGCTCCTTAGACTTTTCACAAACCCGAAGTCCAGACCACAGTGTTAAAAATATACAAATACGATTATGTAATGGCAGCTCGATGAATGCTGCGTGATACTAACCTTCTGTCGTTCGTTCCATTTTTCGACAGCCGAAACGCATTGGTGTACAGTTGACGTTTCTTGTATCCGGAAATTTGATGCTGTACTAGATTGGCACCCACGATGTCCTTCAGCACGCTATCTCTGTAAAATCGAAACCAAACAAAGGCAACCGAAAACAATAAGTTTAAAAATAGAAACACATAAATCATGCAATCCCGCACCACCCCCAGACTCTATAAATATATCCGTCCTTTATCAAACCGATCATCATCATCGTCATGTAATTCAATTTGAGTTTTAATTGCCATCTGAGATAAGAGCGAACGAGTGAAAGTGTATCGTAACACGTTTTACCCCACTGCACCGTGTGCATTGCTGTGGAGGCAGTCAGTGCGCACTCTAGCAAGCCATGACTTGATGGTAGTGATGGCAACTGCCAGCAAACGACAACGATGGCGGGTGGCGGCAAGTAACTATGGAATGTTCCGTCTGCCGGCCGTGGTGGTGAACTGCTGCACCTTAGACGATGCACCGCGCACGCGGCGGGCAGTTCCGATACATACGGATTGAACTCGCATTTGACGCGTACGCCGCGTCGTGATTTCAAGTATCCCGCGCAAGCAAACGGTCTCTTCCGCATTATCTGCACTGGCAAACCGTCTTCCTCGATGGGTTGTGCAGAGAGAGAGAGAAAATGGGGAGGGAAACCATCCACAAAAAGCGGGGTGCTTTCAACAGCAGGTGCATGTAATTTACCACAATAATTAATTTAACATGAGTAAACAACAGATTACGACTGGGGTTTTCGAGTTCCAAATCTTGTTCCGGTATGTCAGTCAGTGCGCGCGCACACAGACACACAGTAGGCAGCAGGCTATGAATGGTTGCTGTTGGTTACGGCGTGGAAAACGGGGCTCATTACAGGTTAATGTCTTAAAAGCATTACTTAACTTGAAAACGGATCAATTAAAAAAAACTGTCACATCTATAAATTTCTGATCATTTGAACGTTTGATGGCATGTTACGAAAAAAAAACTTAGCATTCTTTAAACTCGAGTAAAATATCGCGATGTTGTTTTGCTGGAACTTTCCCGGTGCATTTTCCAAACAACCACCGCCAACCCAGAAACCGAATAACGTAAGCACTTGCCGTGCGCATCTTGTTACATACTCTTTAAAAGATGATCCGGAAGAGGAGGCCAAAGATGACGATAGCGAAGACACTGTGCTCGCCGTGACGACGGTTGCAACAGATGGAGAAGACGAAACCGTTGTTGGCGTAATCGATAATGGCGTATCGCGATAACTCGAACTGTGCTTATGCTGGTGATGATGATTGTTTACTGGTTGCTGTTGATCGTTGCTGATGCTGTTGTAATTCACGGAACCTATTGTCACTGGTGCAGCACTTTTACCGGGTTCACTGATCCCCGATTGCGAATCGACGGCACTTCCATTCAGAACCGTGCTATTGGGAAGCGTGCTTTTCAACGTAGGCTCAGAATCTGTCACATTCTCGCTAGGACTTTCGTACACTTCAATCGTCACTACAAATTTTACACTCAAACCCAACACGAACGCTATTGCGATCACTATAGACTGCATTTTAAATGCCGAGAAGAACTCAATACATTTTATACTGAAAAAAAAACCTTATTCAAAACTCTTCACGATCCTTCGGCTTCAACTGTCACCATACGTTTAAGGGATGTTTGCATTGCATTCCAGGGTTTTATATCACTTACAGACACAATTGTTTTATGTCACTGCCGTTGCACAGTCCGTTTCGTCGTTGAACAAGAACAATAGTAGGCCAAGCGCAGCATTTGGAGTGCAGAAGCGCTCGCATTAACTGCTTTGCTTCTTGATGCATGCTAAGGCGGCAGTGGAAAAATTACGGTTTGCTTGATTAATATTTAGTTTTAGTGACAAACGCAACAAAAAAAAACAGCCTTAAAAAAGTATTGTTTTTTACACCTTTTTTTTTTAGTTACTGAAGGTTGTTGAAATATGTAACGTTTTGGCAGTGAATTTAAGTACAGCTGTACGATCAATTTTCAGAAACACTACATTGAAGTTCTCTTCGATCCCAAGCTAATCGATGCACCCTTTAAAACATAGGATCAATCCACGAACCCCTCATTTTATCTGTCAAACTTTCATTGCGAATCAAAACAAACATAGTGTAGTACTAGAATTTCGACTAGAATGGGGTACATTAATCGATTTGCTTGGGATCAATAGGCTAGTCAAGTAGTGAGTCAATTTTAAATCGTTAGTTTCCATCGGTTGGTGTTACCAAGCCGGAGGTGACGGATAAAATTCCTGGACTGGTCGAGATAACATTTCGGGTTGGAAATATTCTCGACTTTCTTGGGCATAGAATATCATTGAGCTTGCCACACAGAAAAGCATAGCTTCTTTCAAATCCACGTAATTAGATTGGTTTGCCCTATTTGACCCGACTTTGAGTTATTGGCCTTAGAAAAAGAACATTTGAGCAGTTCCACGCCAAATGACAAATTTCACAAATTTGACCTCCTCCGTTTGCATGAAACTTTGCATTTTTGAGTGTTATGGGCAAAGATTCACATTTTTGCCACAATTCGTTCATTTTAGATCATGTTAAAATTTTCAATATGGTGACCTTGACATTTTTCAAAAAAAAAAATGTAGCGTGGAAACGGCACTTCTGAACAGTGCTGTTTATTTTCATATCATTCGATTGAAGATGAACCAATACAACCATTCAATCAATTCTGTTAAAACGAATTCTCACATGACCATCTTTTGAAGAGCCCCTTTCTCATTCGAAGCTCATCGTCACTGTCAATTGAGTCAGTAACTTTTTTTTGTTGTTGTGAGGATTTTAACCGTAGAACCGGTCATTCATCCCCCATCATCCCCCATCATCATCATTTGATATACGACAGTGGAGTATGGAAGAAACCCAGCAAAATGGTCCCGAACAGACAAGTCGACTCAATGTTGGATCAATGTAAGGCAAATTTAAGGTCGATGTCGACCCAATGTCGTGTTGTTGTCGGGGCAATTTTGAGTTTATGTCGGGTCAATGTCTGGTCAATGTCGGGTCAATGTCGAGTCAATGTCGGGTCAACATCCGGTTGGGGATTGCTAGAAGTCGCTAGTTTTTCGCTGGAATGTCGACCAGAGCTCCGTTTATGTGTAGGTTACACTCAATTGACTGATATCAAGCGTTTCTGAAATGAGAATAATCCATGCCTTCGTAAAATGACTAAGCAACTGATATCACCCATTCGAAGAAGGCCCCCTTTGATAGCAAATAGCTGCTGTTCTCATTTTCATCACAAATGTTCGATTGATTTGAGAATTTACAGCACTGCTTCTGAACAAAATGACAGCTGAGGCAAAATTAAGTTTTTTTTTTTCTGGGAAACAAAAAAAAGTTTTAGTGTCCTTGTTCAATTTGAAATTTTAAATTTTAAATTAAATTAATACAGCTTGAGATTGTATAGATGAAATGAGTAAAGCGTTTACACTGTGAAAACTGTTAGTTGAGATGTCTTAGCGTGTACACTTAGAAAACAATCATGTAAATTTAGATGCTCTGAGAGTGACATATACGAGCGTCAATTTTGACATAAATTTGAGTCACAAAAGACGCGAAGTATAGTTCAATCAAACGTACTTTACACCGAGCAACAAACTTTTCAGTCTCGGAGCACTTAATATTACATGACATGATTGTTTACATTTAATATTTTATGTCTAAGATGGATTCCGTCACGTGTAAAATTAGTTATTTCTAAGTGTGTGGGTCACAAACCACAAATATTTGAGAACCACTGCTTCATTCCTTACACAATAAAGAGTGTCAACACACTCCATGATATTCATGTGACCGTTCGTATTTTTACATGACGGTAAAATGAAATAAAACTCCTGATGAATGTGGGCGTCTTAGTGGAATACCTGTATAATGAGAGAGAGAAGGATTAGTATTTTCCATTTAATTCCACTACTTTATTTGCTTATCCTTGACAGATACGCGTATTTCGTCTACAATGTGCAGACTTCTTCAGTGTCTTGTACTAATACTCGAGTCGAGTATTAGTACAAGACACTGAAGAAGTCTGCACATTGCAGACGAAATACGCGTATCTGTCAAGGATAAGCAAATAAAGTAGTGGAATTAAATGGAAAATACTAATCCTTCTCTCTCTCATTATATGAAATAAAACTGTTATTTTACTCGATCAACTTAATTGACATGTAAGATTGTAATGAGACGTATTTTTCAGCTGCCTACGGGATGTTCTGTCTAATGGCTATAGGAAAAGGGATTTACATTACAGATTTAACCAAATCCATAATTTGGTGTAGATGAACTCTGGCGCAACAGGCAATTCGAAATTTTGTTTACCAGATGCTGATGTCAGTTTACCTGAATGAGTTTTAATCCGTGAAAAATCAACGTTCATTGTCATTGTTAACATATTTATGACTGATTGACTTTTTTCGCATGCCAGGTGTTCACACCGAAATCCAGCAGTAGCACACCCCAAGAAGGATTGCAGCTTGGGAAGACCAAATTGATGGAGGTCAGGAGGAGGATCAATGAACTCCATGACTTCATCAAGGATAAGAGCAACGTCCACAAGGCAATAAAGGAAATGGTGACGGGCATCAAATCCGCCATTATTGCTGCCGAACGTGAACAGGATGCGCTGAGGACGAGGTCCGTAACTGCCGAAAGGGCACTGATCGAGGCCAAGGAGAAAGCAGCAGCTGAAATACAGGAGACGCCAAAGGGACCTCGAAATCCACGCTCGGAGAAGAGGAAAAGGGAAACTCCAGGAGAGGAAGAGGAGTTGAAAAAAGTCAAGAACGACAAAGAAGACAACAAGGAGGAAGGCTGGCGTACCGTCGAGAAGCCAAAGGAGAAGTGGAAAAAACGGAAGGAAAAAGACATGAAGAAGAAAGCTGAACAGAAGAAGGTGATACCCAGGACTCGTCGGGAGCGAAGTAAGGGCGATGCTCTGATCGTCGAAGCTAAGGACAAAACGTCGTATGCAGCACTCCTCCGGAAGGTACGAGAGGATCCGGAGTTGAAGCAACTAGGAGAGAACGTGGTGAAAACCAGGCGAACCCAGAAAGGCGAGATCCTCTTTGAGCTGAAGAAGGATCCTGCTATCAAGAGCTCAGCCTTCAAGGAGCTCGTCGAAAAGTCTCTTGGCGAAGGGGCGAGCGTAAGAGCTCTATCCCAGGAGACAGTGGTCGAGTGCAGGGACCTGGACGAGATCACCACAGAAGAGGAGCTAAGAAGTGCGTTGAGAGTGCACTGCGATCTGGGAGATGTCCCGATGTCAATCCGCATGAGGAAGGCGTACGGCGGCATGCAAACGGCGGTTATACGGCTTTCGACAGCTGCAGCGAATAAGCTGTTGGAGACGGGCAAGGTCAAGGTTGGCTGGTCATTGTGCTCGCTGAAAGCCACTCCTCGGGTTACCAAGCAATTGGAGCGATGGCCCTGACAGATCTGATCTGTGCAGGAAATGCGGAGAGAAAGGCCATATTGCAAGAGGCTGCACGAAGCATCCGAGGTGTATGCTCTGCAAAAAAGAGGACGGCAACGATCATACGACGGGAGGCTTCAAATGCCTAGCATACAAAAAGGCGATGGCAAGCCAACAGTAATGGAGGTAACCCAAATAAACCTCAATCATTGCGACATTGCTCAGCAACTGTTGTGGCAGTCGACAACAGAAACAAAGTGCGACGTTGCAATCATTGCGGAACCGTATCGAGTCCCTCCCGATAACGGTAACTGGGTTGCGGATAGAGCTGGGATGGCAGCTATACAAGTTATGGGCAGATACCCCATTCAAGAAGTGGTTGCGAGCTCATACGAAGGCTTCGTCATCGCCAAAATCAACGGAATCTTCATGTGTAGTTGTTACGCACCCCCCAGATGGACGATTGAGAAGTTCTACGAGATGCTTGATGGACTTACCGAAGAGCTGGTCGGACGACGACCGGTAGTCATCGGAGGAGACTTCAATGCTTGGGCAGTGGAGTGGGGAAGCAGGTGTTCCAATGCAAGAGGGCACAGTCTGCTGGAAGCTCTGGCAAAACTGGAAGTTATGCTGGCCAATAAAGGCACCAGCAGCACTTTTCGCAGAGATGGCCGAGAATCCATTATCGACGTTACTTTCTGCAGTCCGTCGCTGATGGCAAACATGAATTGGAGAGTGTGCGAAGGATATACCCATAGCGACCATCAGGCGATACGATATGGCATCGGTCAACGGAATACTGTGGCAGTACGGAGGACGAGAACTTGTGACCGAAAGTGGAAGACGAAAGCTTTCGACAAGGCTTTGTTCGTTGAGGCACTTCGTGTGGACGGGAGTCTCGTAGATCTAAATGCGGACGAGCTGACAGAAACGTTAGTGAGAGCATGTGACACGACCATGCCGAGGAAACTGGAGCCAAATAACAGACGGCGTCCAGTCTACTGGTGGAACGAGGCACTTAGTACTCTCCGCGCTAGTTGTCTCAGAGCCAGAAGACGTGTTCAGAGAGCAAGAACGGAAGCAGACAGAGAGGAACGAAGA